TTCCTCTTCTGTAATATTAGCCCCAGACTCCAGCTCCCAAGCATTTCAACACTCCAAGCAACGACAAATCATGGGATCTAGCAGCCTCATTAACACGGCCTTCCACAGAGTTGAAAACAATGTGCCAACACTTCTCTGAGGAAGAGTTTTACACTCCTATTGGTGGCAAAGATGAAACAGAATAGGGAAGATAGTATAGACTCATCTTGGGTTATTTTTCAGCTGGAGTGTTGGTGAATCCTTCTTCAACTTAACGTCACAACCAGTCTTTAATGAGATTTGTTCCAATTCAGTTGTAAAATAGATCCCTCCTGGATTGGGAAGGCAAGACCAGAGCTCCATGCCCTTCATTTTCACCCCCAGACTTCTGTAGTCTCTCTTGATATGCTCCAGGTTACCTCTCGAGACATACTGCTGATACCCACAAGGAAGAGGAGGAAGAGGTCCATGTTAGAAGGCTGGACAAATCTTGGCAGTGCTTCTTCAACAATCCCAGATGCTGGCACCTAATAAACAAAACTCCTGACATATGACGTGGGGTCAGAAGAGACATGCCTCTATCTTCCACAAGAGGAATCTCCTGTAATTATCTGTGACTGGTACCCTCTGCTCCTGACACCTGGTGCAGCACTGTTCCCAGGGTATGGTGACACCCATTACAGAACAGGGAAGTGTAAATGCACATGAGATAGTCTGGATGGCAAAACCGTGATCCCTCGGTGGTCAGGGATGCCTCCTGTGACTGTTCACTCAACTCTTGCACAGATTTTGGCTAACACACAGCTCAAGCTAAGGCCTGATGTATGCTGGGAGCAGCACCATTAGGTCACAGCAAAGGCAACATGTAGGCAGGACACAATGGACAGGAAGAGATAAAGATCATTATGCAGCCATTATCACCTGCAGCTTGCTGTCTCCTGCCGCCAAAATTCTTGCATACTGATTGTCTGGCAGCCTCTTCAGAATCCACAAACTTAGGGAAATTGTATAGACCAAACCCCCAAACTGAGAGGTGTAAATACATCAGCTTATCCAAAAGGTTTTTGAAGCTGATCCAACAGCAGACAGACTGCTAAGGCTTTTGTGCTTCCTGGTGCGATACAGGGGATGCTCATGCCGTGACAGAATAGGGAAGGGGGAACACCCTCACCATGGGCATGACACCCCCTCTGACGCTGTTGTTCTTCTTCTGAGGTTTGAGTGACTCATGTACTTTTTAAAGTCAGAATCCAGATTCTGATTATTCTATTGCACACTGATTATTATGAATTTGACCTGATCTGCAGAGCGTCCAGGTGACTGAAAAGTACAGGTAACTGCAGTTTTAGGTAATAGAAAAGCTATCCTAATTGCTAGAAATTCTGTGTAATGATAAGCTATGCTGATTACTAAAATTTTTCTATAATAATAAAGCTCCAATTATAACTACAAACCTGTGGCCAGTTCTCATTTCACCAAGGATCCTTAAAAGAACCTGCCTGTCCCCATAGTACCAGGTAGTGAGGAGTGACACTATCACTCATTTTTTTCCCATTTGTTTGGACACTAAGTTCAGGCTCAGCTGACTCTGATGGGTCTTGTTGGTCCTCACCAGTGCCCAGAGTACTACACCTGTTCTGAAATTGGAGATCTGTAGGTGGAACAGATCTGTGACTTCTTGTTGCCAGAAGTCACAAGCTTCCAGCCTTCTCCATCTTGATAGTCTCTGTTCACTTGGGCTCCAGCTGTCACTCCTTCCTCCCCTTGTGTAGCGTGGGTTTTCCATAAATACCATGTCAGTCTCCTGTTCATCTTCCTCCTTAATCTGGAACCTCAGGGCCTTGACCACAGCACATCTCCCACAAGAGAGGCCATCACTGCCCTGACCTCCAGGCAGAGGCAAGAGCACTCTGCAGCGCAGGACCTGGATAGAGGGCTCCTCGCTCTGGAGCCAAGGACTCTGATGTGCTAATGGTAGTCCTGTGGAGTACTACTGCATCTTAATGGATGCCCATGTGCTGGATGGTATGTCCTGCAGCATGCCGAGACCACCATTGTGCAGTCTTCAAACAGACCCACATATTCTTGAGTGGAATTTCTGAGCCTCTTTGCACTCCTGCTGCTATGCTTCATTTGCTGCGCTCTGTGGGCTGCACTCTGGCTTCCTTGCTCTTTCCCTAACAGGTCTCTTTTTGTGACAATACAATCCCACCCACATCACCATCACCCTGAGCACCCACCACCTAGCTTTTAAAGTGCTGTCGCTGCTGTACTGCCCTGCCACCCACACCACCCTCACAGCAAATTTGGCTGGACTGGACCCTGAGCAACCTGATCTAGCTTTGAAGTTAGCCCTCTTGTGAGCAGAAGTTTGAATGAGATCATCCCAGGCCCCTTCCAATTGAAGTTATTCTACATTCCTATGTCAGGACCCTGTTGAATATACACTGAGGTTCAACTGGTTTCATTTTAAGAGCCAGCAATGACCAAAGCAAGTATCTGTTCCACAGGAGGTGTAGAAATGCATTCAACATAGGTGCAGCACTCAGGTTTTGGTACAAGAAAAGAAAGAACCTCAGTCCTGCTCTTGCAGCCTTTCTGTAAGAGTGAGGGCAGCTAAAAGGCCCTATGCTTCATTTACGTGTCTGATTGTAAACTGTCAAAGATATATGACCTGCACTATATATTCTATTGCCAGATCACTACCAAATGAGCTAATAAAGCTATGGCTTAATTAACCCCTATCAGTTGCCTGTTGTTTTTCCTCCTGTGGGACCAAGCCAACCATACATCTTCCATTGCAGATTAGAAAGCAGCCCAAAATTTCACTCAGTTTCAATGTCTGGCTGCTGAGCCTTCTCAACCACATAAATCACAAGCAGGGATTTTTGTAATTCTACAACATTCTGAAGGAGAAGAAAAAATAAACAGAAAAAGAAAAAAAATAATCTTCTATCACAACATACACTAAAATCCTCATTGTCTGATGTGAAAGTAAACTTTCCAACCACCCTGCTGAAGCAGTGGTTTCCCCAGGCTGCCATTCAGCACAGACATATTGCCCTGCCTCCCCCGGCCCCCAAACAGAGAGCACAAAACATAAGAAGTTAAGACGCAAAAATCTCCAAATGCTGCTGAAGTATACTTATCCACAAGCCTCACTTAATCATGCTTTCAACTCCCTCCCTAATATGTTTAGATTAGCATGTCAGTAGTCACACTAAAGTTTTCTGGCTGAAATCTCAACCAAACCTATACGACCTACAGCAGAGCTATACAGAGCAGGGCACACACTACATAGCATGACTAAGCTATCCTAGAACAGTTTAAAAAAAGCTTCATATAACTCTGTCTAACCATATAGAAAGCAGTCCAACTTAAAATTTCCAGGACATAGACTTCCCAAAGTAAACAAAGCATTAGAATGCCTGACACAGATTTCATATCTGCATTCCCAGGTTGCTGGGGGGAGAGTGGCCACGTATTTATTTATTTTAATGCCTTTAATATCGAAGTGTTTGGGTCATTTTTACCACGTGTGGAACTAAATTAGCATCACAAAACAAACCAAAAATTTGGAGTTCCAACCCCTCAACACGGTCCCACTGTAATCTCCCTCCCTTTACGGTCTGCCTCCTGTTCCTTACTTTGCCAGCAAGCAGGAGAGAATATTGTGATCACCCTGCTCTCCCATTATTTCTTCACTTCTTCTCCAACCCTCCCCAGGACTGCATAGGCAACAGGAGTACAGGCAAGCCTCAGACTGCTGGCTCATATCCCCCCTCCATTCCTCTGCCCCTGCTGCTGGCATATTTGTATACCTCTGCAGCACCTACATGACACTACCCTGCATCTGCAAAGCTCTCTCATCACCCTGTCATCCACGTAGAAAGAAGCTGTTCCCTTATTAGCAGCTGTTGATCATTTCAATATCCAATTGCTGAAATACCAAAAGTGGAATCAGGAGTGAGGCCTAGAAGAATGTGCACGATTCAAAGGGAGAATCCCTGGATAGATGAACAAGTTACTCAAACTCACTAAAATGAGTGAAGGACAAAAAGGAAGGTTCGTTATTTTAAGTCTGTATCAAAATTACCACTTGTTTCAAATGAGAGTACAAGAGTAATAAAGTAAAATATTGTAAAAAACTGACAAATTATACAACTCAAAAAGAGATCTCTCCACTTGGCATTTCCACTGTTCATTTGTGCAGAATCAACTTCTGGAAAGATTATTTACAATTGGATTTTCATTCACAGCTCTGCAGCCAACATTCAGAAGAACAAATTTTAAGCAGATGAACTAAATTGACAGGACTGTTCAAGTTGATGGTAAACACTCCAGTATCTCCTGAACTACAGGGTAAAAGCTTGCCTAACCTGAGCATTTAAAAGGACAACCAAACTTATGTACGCCAGGCTTTATAACTTCCTTTTCATATATAAAGCTTAGTGCCAATATTTAAAAAAGAAAAAAAGAAAGATAAATAAAGAACATTACAGTTCTGGCAGACTTGGAACAAACAAAAAATAAAACCCAGACCACATGATAATTATTGCCAGATTTCCAGTGTTCTGGGATTCACATGGTGTATTAAATGTATTTTAAGATCTCTTTGCTTTAGTCTTTTTGGTATTTCACATGACAGCTTAGAACTGTTTAATAAGGTTCTATATTTAATCCCCTTCTACTCTTCCGGATTTGGATACACCGCTCTTCATGAACATTTCTGTGTTCTAACCACAGACAAGACCTCTCCTTCTATTTTCCGGACCATGCTGCTAGATGGTACTACAATTCCCAGCAGAAGCAATGAGAGTGCCACACAAGAATACACAGTAGTGCAACACCCAGCTGTTGCACAATCTCTGCTCCTACTCAGCTCAGCACAGTTGTTGCCTTCAGGCCCAGAGGCATGCTGCTCGGATTTGTGGGTTGTAAAGGGAAGCTGGTGAATATAACAACACTGCAGTAGAACAAAGGGCAGCTAGAACAATCCATCCATTCAATCAGTAACATACCGTTACTCCAGATATAATCGGGGCTTTTCCTTCAATTAGTTTATATATTTCTTGAACTGCTTCCTCATCACTCTTGTCTTTAAATCGCTTCTTCGAGAGTTCTTGAAGAGCTTCCTTAAACTGCTCAAAAGTGATAGTTCTGGAAGACTTTCCCCTGTCAAAACACACAGAAATTGAAAGGAATTACAAGAGAGCACACAAGCATTCCAAGAATAGCAGAATGGTTTCGGTTTACCACAGTGAACAACCGAAAACCGCAACAGAACACGAAGACCCACGCAGCCCATTTATGGTGTCAAGTAAAACATATTCCAGGAACATCACTTTCTTTTTTCATGTACATCAGTAGGATAGTGCTTTAGAAACTTCCCTTGATGAACGTTCAGAAATAAAGGGGAAATAAAGGGACCTGGCCTGCTGTCAGAATGCCTGCAGCTTATCAAATCAAATACAGTCTCATTTGGTTGATCACTTGTAAAGCTTGCACACATAAAAGACAAGAATTGAAGCACCTTAAGTGAGTTTTGTTATTTAATATTTTTTTATTCCTCTTTGAGTAACTGGTTATGACATATTATTCATATGACATATTCACAAGTAAATTAAGAATAATGCTGTTCTGTAAAGCAAACTATTGAAAAGCATTTAAAAACTTGAAATTCCTCCTCTATTAAAGACTGACAAATTTTAAAGTGACGCATTTAAATTCAATACCTGTTTTCCTTCTTAGACTATCACCTTCATAAAACATTCACAGGCTCATGGAGAACACACTATAGCAGTCTGATATACCCATAAACCCCCCAGAAATTCAGAGCTGAAGACTTGCTGTTGTTTTCACTAATAGGAAGCCTGTATTTCCACACTAGTAAATTACTTGCTTAGGCTTACTTTTGGTGGAGAAGATTTTGCAATAGCAGCAATACAGTGCAAAATCTGACAGGTAGAGTGGGAAATTCACACTTTACAGACATCTATTTATAGAGTCACTCCTGGAGATCTTTTATACCCATCAGGCCAAAGGGTTCAATTGATAAAACTTACAAAGAAACTCAGCATTCACTACAGAGATGTGTTTAACCAAAAGGGGATTAATGCAAGTCTGTTTTCTAGCATTTTAAAATATTCAGTTTAGGCAGGAGATAATGTAGTGGAGTACGCACTGTTCCTTTCTTTTTCCTAATACAAAACTATTTTTAGTGTTTCTCATTTTAAAATTCAGGTGTAAGGCCACAGCATTAGTGAGATTACTCACCATTAAAAAAATTAAAATTTTTCTTTCCTATGAATTATATCACACACAAACCACACCTTTTCCTGTATTATTAAATTACAGATTCCCTGATCTTTAGAACAAGAATTTACACACCAAAATTTAGCCATACGTTTTAAGCTAAAATTTAACAGATCAAATAGAAATATTTTCAAAAAGATGTTCTGATGCTGACGCTGCTGTAACCTTAAGTAGTACCATCTTTAATAGCAGAAGATGTTTTCAATTGCTTACAACATTATGAAACCCTCAAAGTCAAAAAAATATTTCAGAATCCATGTTGCTGGGAAACATGCTACTACACAAATTTTGTTTGCTGCTTAAGCATTTCTTTTTATGCCAATTTAGAGAGTATTTCAAGCAAATCAGAAGAAAACCCAACAAACAACAGAACATCACACAACCCAGACCAATCCTTTCAACAGTGACAGCTGTTTATACACCAATAAATGATAGATACAAGGATAAAGGAAGTTTGCACTGGCAACAGAAATCTCAGGCTAGAAAAACTATGTGTAGAAATCTAATTTTAATTGAAGGGTCACAAAGAGCCACTGCGAAGAGCAATTCATCTATCTACCATCGATTTATCTTTGGTCTTCTCTTAGATACCTTCAGAGGTCAAATTCCCCTCAGTTGGAGGGTGCCTCCACTAATGAAAGGGGGAAGTGAGATTTCTCAGTTTTAGACACCAACGGTTAGGAAGTGACTCCTACTTCAATTAATTAAACACAAAAATGAAATTTTATCCTAGGCTTTTAAAACAAGGAGAAATTGGTTATTCACAAGATTCAACACTAATGCAACCCTTTACATACCATTCATTACCAGTATCCTTTATTTTCAACACAGGCCAACATGTAGCAAATCCCTACATCCCTCACACTCCCCATTTTAGCCAGAAATAAACTTCATCCGTTTTTTGACCAAACTTTGCTGGTTGCAACTACTTGTCTGCTTTAGGTGAAGCATATGCTGGAGTATCTCATGGAAGTAGCTACTAAGAGAACACCATGACAATGGAAAAGAAGAATATAATCCAGTATTTCATTAATCAGAAAGACACAGGGAATAAACTGCAATTAACTACTTAGAATTTGTCCAGGATTCTCATTAATAGGATTAACATCTCTGTTCTGATGAAACATATCCAAGAACTTTTAACTAGCTCAAGAGGTCAGGACTGCATTCTGTTTTGCCTCTCATTTAGAAAAAGATGGCATTGGCAATCACTGCAAAGCGTCAGTGCAACACCACACTAAGGCCCCTGTTCACTACAGACTCACAGCCAAGTCTAACATACAGACCTTTCAAACTCCAATCGGGATTGCTACAGTTTAGCTCGAATCATCACTCAGGATCATCACAATGGGAAAGGGAATGACCATGTTCAGCAAAAACAGTTGAAGTTCATGTTGACTCCTTTTATTTTTATTAACACATGTAGAATTTTTGGTTCTGCACTTATCAAATAGAAGAGCACAACTTTTTTTTTTTTTCCTTCTCCTGTATTAAAAGGAAAAATACATAAATAAGGGTGCCAAGAGGAACAAAGAACATCTCTTTCTGGTCTAAGACATAGCCATTCCCACCTCACATTTGGTCTTTTCCCCGTCACACTAACATGGGGAAAGGAAATGAGTTTTTTCCCCCTCCAACTTAAGGTGCAACCACAAATTGGATACATATATGAGGAATGTAGTATTGCTGCGGGATGCAAAAGAAAAAGAAATGTGCATCATGGCAGATATTCTTTACCAGCAAAATACATTAATTGGAGTGACACTAAAAATAGATTGGGAGTAAAGGAATTTTTGGAACTATACTCCAAGTAAAAGTTTCCTAAATAAAGCAGCTTTAAATTTGAAATTCAATATCTTCCTCCACACTCCAAAAACCATCATCTCTCCCCCTTCCATCTATTACAATATTATCAAATCCATTTGAAAAGCATCACAATTAACTCAAAAATTCTACAGGTGCAAAGTACGCCAAGTCTCATGGAAAAGCCTAACAACGTAACTCTTGATTAACTCACAACATGTTCTGGCACTTTTGGTACGCCATGTACGGTACATGTATGCCACGTACCATAGCATCTAAATTACCAGGTAGGAATGCTACAACACCTCCTGTCTCTAGAGGCAGGTCTCAAAGAACTCTGAGCAGCTGCTGTCATCACGGTTACTCAGCAGGACAGCACGCTCCGACCCTCTCTTCTGTCTGTGCAGTCACGGGTTGAATGCAGAGGAGAAAACAGGCTGAGTAGGTCAAAATGACAGAGGCAAAGTCTCTCAACAAACCTACATAGCTCTTGATTTACACGCTCTTAAGCCACAGGATCAGCCCCCTCCAGATCCACAGAAACACCCTGCGGAGAAGGACCTGGGGGTACTGGTGGATGGAAAGCTGGGCATGAGCCGGCAATGTGCGCTCACAGCCCACAAATAGTATTCAAGTCCATATAAAATGGAGGCCCCTTCCTAACACCAGCTTTTCAGAGGTCACGAAGTTAAACTAAAAAAAACCAACTAAAAATCCCAAGCAAACCAGTTTCTTTCTATTAAGCAACTGCTACAAAGAATCAGCTTCTTTGTGTATATTTGTAACTTGTTTTTAGAAGCTCATTATAAATATTTTATAAATATCTTGTTTCCATGGGAATAACAAAACAAATATATTAACTTTCATTTTCCAAGTGTTACAAGTTCAAACAACTTGTCTACAATTAAGTATGCCAAGGGCAATCTCTCAGCTACTAACACCCTTCTCTTAGGTTTAGCACTCCAGATAGTTAATAGAGACCTATAAAGAAGATAAAATACTGTACGTTAAAAAAGAAAAGGGAAAAAAAAAGGCGAAAAAGAAAAAAAAAGAAAAAAGATGATGAATGGAATAGAAGGAACGTGTGAACAGCTATGGAAACATGACACTGGAAATGCAAATTAAAACTATCTGACCAGAAAATGAGACAAAATGGAAAACAGTAATAATAGAGGGAAGGTGGGGAAAAAAAGGCTTGTATGAAAACAGTCGTCATAAGATTGGCCACCTCAATGAAAAGAACAAAATATATATGAGGGACATTAATAATATAAATTTTTAAAGCCCTGTACTTTATTATGACACAAAGAAACCTTTATGTTTAGGAAGGACACATTCCTACATGCCGTTCTATTTTAAGCTCTGCTTCTTACAACAAACAGAATTACTCTAATGCATCATCCTTGGGTGGAGGAAACAGGGTATTCATGGTATACTCATGGAAGTGGCTTGTATCCATGCCTACCTTTGGGAACAGACTGAACACACTCAGAAGAATTTTAGGAAGCTTCCCATCACTTCCCCTTCCTTGACAGGTCCCTCCACATGTAACCACTACCAATGGGAAGATTCTGAACTAAAGCTTGAACTCCTCAGTTTGCTTTTAGGAGCCCAAATCCACATACATAAAAGCATCGGTTCTGAGCCTGGACATCAGCAGAGTGAACATAAAGTGTAAAAGATCAAACATTGGCCCAAAGTAGACTGCAATAGCAAGTGATGCAGTTTTCATTTGCAAATATTGCCACTAACAGTGTCCTGTGTTCACAAGATTAGAATAATGCAGTGTGAAAATGTACTGTTGCAAATTAATACTTCCATTTTATATGGACTTAAATACTATTTGGATTAACAGTTGTCTATAATTTTAGCTGAGAAGAAAAGCTATACAAATACACTCCACATACCCAATACACAAAATTCTTGACCAATATTAGAAATCTTTATCTCCATAGCACTATTACAGTTCAGTGTTAATACAGCAGTCTCCAACTTAATCGTTTTCTCTCTTAATCTCTGAGCTACGAAAAGTCATCCCATACGCCCATCCCAAAAGG